AGAGAGAGAGAGAGAATTTTTTTTAGTAAATGTAAAAAAATGGGCTTCCACTCTTAAGAGTTACTTGAGTCAAAAAGCATGTTAAAGGGAAACGTTATGTGTTTGTTTGGTTTGTTCCAATATTTAAATATATGATTAGTGTGGCCGATCATCCACACTATGGATCCATGTCGGATCCCCATAGTACTAATCCAGATTAGTCTTAATTAATGATTTGAAAATAAAATTGAAAGATTAAAAATAAAACATATTAAGAGAGCTTTAGAGCGGGTATAGGGTGGGGTTTAGGGGACCTAAAAAAATATTAGACAAGCTAAAAAAAAAAAAAGTAAAAAGGGAAGGGGAATTTAGAGGGAGCTACGGGTAGAACGGGTAATATTAGTATTAGAAATACAATAGAGAACACTACGTATATTGACTGATAAGGAATATACACCCATACAAATATATGGCTGATAACAATTTTGGATAGTATATTGATTGATAAAGAATATAGACCCATATAAATATATGGCTAATAACAATTTTGGAAAGTATATTGATTGATAAAGAATATAGATCCATATAAATATATGGCTAATAACCGTTTTGGATATTGATTGATAATGAATATTGAACCCATATAAATATACTGCTAATAACAATTCTAGATAGATATGGATAGATACCAACCATTGATTAATAAAGAATATACAAGACCCCATCTACCTTATCTCTGGATAGATACCATCTACCTTATCTTTGGACAGATACCAAGAGTTGATTAATGAAGAATATACAAGACCATCTTCTCCATCTTTTCAAGTAGATTAGGAGTTAGCTTTTTAAAAGTATCGTAGGATGGTGTTAATAGTGTGAATAGAAACCACGATATGATGATTAGGAACCCCGGGCCTTTCCCATACGCTTATTTATTTCCAAATGGTTAAATGCAACCATCCAAATATCGGATGGTCCTTGCTCAAAATTAGGAGATTGTTATAAATACATAGTCTTTATTATTACTGATTGTCTTTGCTCAATCTTAGGAGATTGTTATAAATACATAGACTTTATTATTACTTCTTCTGTCGAGAAGGTTGGATCTCAAAATTATCCAAAAGTAGGGGTATTGAAAGAACACCTAGATACTTTTTACCATAGGGAGTAAATAGCTAATATACTCCGGCAGGAGTATTAACTTTTAATAAACAATGAAATGGCCCTCAATCAAGCACAAGCCCTTGCCATAATCCTCTCCTTCCCATATTGAAACTAACTAAAAGAGTATCACGCCCACTTCGGTGGCCGAGTAAACTACAACGAAACTTTCCATTTCTGGTAATTGACAGCTTTTCCGACGATAATTACGGCTTAAAATTTTGCAGCTAGACCCCATTATTTAAAGAAGAAAACTTGTGTTGATTTTTATTGTGTTTTGGTGAAGTCCTTTGTTTGGGTTGAGTTCATGATAATGGCGGGACTCAGCTCTCCAAATATGGACAAATCTCTTCTCAATCTGCTTCTCATTTTGTCCATGGCTTTGGGATTCTTGGCAGCAAATGCACAGGACAAGAAGGTGATTACATGAGCTCCTTCTCTCTCTCTCTCTCTCTCTCAGATGATTATATGCATTGTCTCTCCTCCTAAGGTAGTTATTTAAACTCTCTCTCTCTCTAAGGTGATTAAATTCTCTGAATTGTCTCTCTCTCTCTACGGAGATTATTTGAGTTCTCTCAAGTAAGGAGTGGTAATCGAAATGATGCAGAATTACATAGTATACATGGGGGACCTTCCGGATTCTAATTTTAACACCATGTCTGCATCGATGATGCAACACAATGCCTTAGCCGATGTCACAGGAAGGTACTTTCTCTCTCTCTCTCTCTCTCTCTCTCTCTCTAGGATGATAACTAGCTCCTGTAATGGCTTTGTAACCTCTCTCTCTCTGCGTCATATTGAGGGATATAATTTTTGGAGTTTGGTTGTTAACAGCCTTGCAGTCGCTGAGCAATCGATGGTGCGCAGCTATAGCAACAGTTTCAATGCTTTTGTAGCGAAGCTTACACCTGATGAGGCCAAGAAACTCTCATGTCAGCACTTCCAAATCACCCCATTTAGCACTTATTATAAATTCAAATTCCAAAGTTTTTGTTCATTCAATTGGTTTTTTTTTTTTTGTTACTTTTGTTTACTCAATTGATTTTACTTGCTGACATTAAGATTTTAGGTAAAATACAAAATGCTCCATAAAAATTACTTGCTGACATTAAGATTTTAGGTAAAATACAAAATGCTCCATAAAAATTATATAGAAGGTAGTTAAACCAACTTTTTTTTATTTTTTTTCAAAATTTCCCCTTTAGTCAAATTGAATTTTGATTTTTTAAAAGTTTTTTGTTAGTATGCCAGTACTCTAAGCTAACTAATGAAAAAAACAAAAAAAATTAATATTTGAGTTAACTGAGAGGTAATTTTAAAAAAAATAAGAAAAAATGAGTTGACTGACCATCTTTATGATTTCGGCCTATAAGCTTAACATTATGCATTTTACCTAAAATTTTAGGGCACACACATAAATTGCTCATTGAGTTATAATTTCAGGTTGTCTCTGTACGACCCAACGTATTTATTTATTTTTTATTTTTGTCAATTTTAAAATTTTCATTTGTGTTTTCCCGTATTAAATATCAATTAAATTCATACTAAATATATTTTAATTGTTTATGCAGCAAAGGAGGGAGTCCTCTCTGTTTTTCCAAGTGGATATCGTCAGCTTCACACGACGAGGTCGTGGGATTTTATTGGCTTCTCTCAAAGTGCAAACAGAAACCTTAAATCTGAGAGCCAAATTATAGTTGGTGTTTTAGACACAGGTGACAATATTGTTGCCATTTTTATTTCAGCCACTTTCAATTTTTTGGTTTTTTTTTTATTTTTTTTTGTTTTTGTCTACAAGAGTTCCTTTAATATGAAGGCCTTCAAGGTTAGGTCGTAGGTTCTAATCATGCTTTCTTGAGTCCTATTTCCATCGAGACCGGTACTGAACCCTTTTCTATTAAACTACTCAAAAGAAAAAAAAAACAAAAAACAAAAAAAAGTTATGCAGTGCTTTAAAATTGCTTACAAGAATTAGGGAAAAAATGACCCGAATCGTTATTTTTTTCATAGAATTTTAATTTTTTTCATTAAAATAGCCGAAGCCTATTCGGACCCCCTTTAGTCGGGAAGAATCAGGATAAGACCCCTAGCATAGAAACCAAGTCCGATTTTTCAACACTGATTTATCATGTTCCCTATTTTTCCCTTCTTTCGGTGATTATATATTCTAGAGATCACAAGGATCATCACCGTCCATTAATGCAAATCCATGTGCATCCTTGATGGATGTATTATTTTGAATGGACTCATTCGGGCAATTTTAGAAACGTTGAATCCGGGCACATGTCTCCCGCCCGATTCACCCGGTTCATTCCGGATAAAGAAAAAACAAACACTTACTATACTAGGTGAGCTTAGGATTTGTCTGTTTGTTTGGATTCGCAGGGGTTTCAATCAATCTAGTATGTCTGACAGCCAGTCGAATCGACGATTTTTAAAACACTTATTTAGGATATTAAAAGTGGATACCCACCAAAAAAAACCAAAAGGGAACATATAAGGCATGTTTTCCCAATAAGTTTGGGAGGTATAGCCATGCTTGTGAGGATTTAATGCGAAAAAGAAGCGGTGGTATCACTTAATCTTATCTTTAATGTATACATGAGGAAGAAAACCCGGTTTAACATGTTGAACCATGGTAGTTGAAGGCCCTATTTGGGTGATATTAGTTTTATATGAAATAGACTATCTTATGTAAAATTAATATATTGTGGAGAATATTATTTTTTGTTAGTTGCTAGCAGCACAAAGTATAGGGCAATGCTTTCATGCGATGGTTGTATAGTAATATGATGCAACCTTCAAAAACTATGATATGACCATTTGTTTGATCCAAAATTTAAAATATACACGCTTCGCATTCTAATGAACAATTACAATAAATAAAAATTTGAAAAAAAACCTAGAAAGTATTTTTTTAGCCAAATTAACATAGGCCGTTCATTTTGGTGAGATGCTTAAATCTAGGCCTTAGAAGAAATTTTTCATTTCCATTTTTTTTTAGATGGTTTTATTATCATTAGATGAACAACCTTAAAAAAGAAAGAAATTATTTTCAGTTTGTAAAGGCTAAATTCTTGAAATTCACCAAATGAATGGTCTAGATTCGTTGCTTGAGGGGTCTCATTTTCACAACATCTAGAGTTTAAATCAAACTTTTTTTTTTTTGGATTGATTATTTATATGAAGAAAGTGTGTGTGCAAAATTTTGGGTCATACAAATACCACGAACATAAATTTTTAGAAGTGTCGTTGCATTATACTATGATACAACCTTTCCATAAAATCACTACTCCAAAGTATATTATATATAATATTATTTAATTATATACTTTCTTTGTTAAATTTCAGTTATTTTTAGCTATTACTGGCTAAAAATATTTGCTTTTCTACCAGCTACTTTAAATAAAGTAAAAAACAACTTTTGAAAAGAAGATAAACTTACATTGAAAACTACTTATAATGTTAACTCAGATGACTTTATCATACACATTGCCAAACAACATATATTCATTATTAGGATTCAGTTTATTGAAACAATAAATTATCGGTGATAATGAGCAGATCCAAACTTGCTCTAAGGTTATAACGTAAATCTTGTTAATACTTGTTATCGTTGTTTTCCAGGTATTACCCCGGATTCCGAGAGCTTCAGTGACAAAGGATTCAGTCCCCCACCTACAAAGTGGAAAGGATCATGTGGCCCTTTTGCCAACTTTAGTTGCAATAAGTAAGGATTGGCATTTTTTAAATGAATAGTATGCTATAAAACTATATATATTTGACACAAAGCGGTCACAAATATCTTTGGCTGTTAGATGTGAAATTGAACTATTAGAGATTTATCACTAACTAAGACAAAGTTTTAGAGATAAAATTTTCAAAATTTATGACACACCCTAAACTTACCTATTTCAAATTGGTGGGGAGGGGTGATTGTGACTTCATGTAAAAGGATGAATAGGTAAAAAGACAAATGGTCATATAACATAAAATCAATTGACAAATAACATAAAATCACCTCTTTAAATATAATAAGTTATACAATAAGATTATCTACTTTTTATACTGGAAAGTAAAAAAACGCCTCTACAATTCAAATATAACATTTGACAACATTTTGTATAATTGATAGAGCTTAAAGTTTAATAAAATCTTTTTTGAACTTTGTGCAAAAGAAATGACATCTCTTATCATCTGATTTAACATTTGATTTTAAAGGTAATTGTGATCTTTTTTGTATAAAAATAAATGATCCTTTATAATATAAAAAACCATATAATGAATCATGAGTCTTATCTAGCACAAAGATGGGAAAGTGTGAAGGTTTTGAGAATTCATGAGAGTGGTGCAAGTAAAATATGAACCTACTTGAGAATATGTTTGAGACATGCAACCCATGCCCTTTAATCTTTGGCAAATGGGCGACAATAGTTTTGCAAACTTTAAAAAAGAATCGATCCATGCACTACTTTTAAAAAGTGATGGTTATAAGCTAGGACAATGCCACTTATAGAATGAGGGGGAGAGTACTGTTCCTTTATGGTTTCTTAAAAGGAAAAAGTTTATATAAGGTGTCAATTTTATAATGTAGATGTAGAAGTAATATTTTAGAAATCTGCTTGAAAATATTTATCCGCTATTGAAAAATGGATAATTTATTGTCTCGAGCTAGAGGTATTGAATATGAAAAACAAGGATTTAAGGTCTAGGCATACTGGATCATGTACCACATTATCTAGACAATTTATTTTTCAAAAAATTTAAGTGTTTATAGGTTGCTCGATCAACACTATTTTTGGTGCCTTTACTTCCATAATTAGGAGAGAAATTAGAATTTTAAGTTGTCGTAAGGGTTTTCCATCATAATAATTTTATATTTTAGCAAGATTTAACGGTGCACGGTACTTTGATTGATAAAGTTTGACACCCTGTACAAAATTGTACCCATTTCCGCCTTAAGCACTCAAGTGGAGCATTTCCAAACCTTAGAAGAAATTGCAGTATCGGTATTGAGAAATTTTTATGACAGTCCAAAAATCTATTTATATATGTGAAAGTTTAGAGCTCCAAAAACAGTACAAATTGAGCAAATTTATAAGCAATGAAACTCCTGAAAACGGATGGTCCAAATAATATACTAAGAGATGTATAGTTTTTAAAACTTGAAATCTTTTTTACTTTTTTATATCCATATATCTCGAAGTCAAGATGACCAATTGCAAGGTTTTCTAAAATTGGAACAACTTTTTTGGATGGGTTTTATGGTGTGCCTTAGTTTTATAACATAAAGGTGATGCCCTATATAAACTTTTTCATTTGAAAATTTTGCATGTCATAAATATTATGAAAAAATGTATTTTATTTTTGCTTCAGAACAGAATTTGGAGTTCGAAAAATAATGCATATTCGATGATTTTTGAAGAACAAAAATGAGCACTCCTAAGAACTAACAAAATAAGCCATTTTTAAGGCTCATTTTTTTTCCTACTATATTCATGACCATAGTGGTCTAGAAGTTTTCGATCCAAACCCATCTCCAGAATAGATTTTGTGACGGTATACTCAATGTAACAAGTGCGTCCCCCAAATGCACGTTCAAATATACTGAAATATTCCGAAGTCCAAACTTTTGAGACAAATCTACCTCTTTTTCAGTGAAAAAGGATAGGAAAAAATACATCATATTTTTTTAAAATTCCTTTCTTTTTATTTTTTTTTCAACGTTTTTTTAAAAAATATCCTCCTTTTTGTTTGATCATTTACTTAGGATAATAATAAAAAAGATTATATCCTATGGGACTATGAGACAATTTACTTTTGATACAATAAGATCACATCCATCCCCTAGCCATGACATATGAAATTAGGTAGATAGAGGTGTATCATTTTTATATACAAAAATTTGAGCACAATTGCTTCGGATTTTGATGCCAGTACATAGCACACTCCTATCCTTGATTCTAAATCTAATGCCTATGGGTGTTTGAAACCTCTTTGTATAAAAGATAAGCCTTATTCTATGGTTTGTCTACAACGAGGTCACTTATCTTTTTTACATACAATTATTCTTGTCCTTTAAATTTAAAAATGAGTGGTTATAAGAGTGCCATTGAATAGACACAAAGTTCCAAATAAAAATTTATCAGACTTCATTCAATTTGACATCTAATGAGTGAGAATGATTGTAACTTCCATATATATAAAAGATAAAATGGTCTTTTTATGTTCCCGTGAAAAGAATATTCAGCGAAGGCATTATTGCTTGCAAGTTGCAACGTGCCTCATTAGCACTCCACTGGGGTGGCAGTACGTCCAAGGTTTTGGACCCCGATCCCATTGGGTCCAAAACTTGGACCTGGACTTGATTCGATATAGGTCTAGGTTGGGTCTATGTCTAGAGCCTAACAATAATTTTTAAAAAAAATATTAAAAAATATATAAAAAAGGATTTGGTTAGCCAGCTCGACTATAGGATTTGGTGAGCCAATGGTTGTGATCGGCCCATTGTTTTTGTTGAAGGTCAAGGTAGTTTTTAAATCCAAAAGAGCTACAATATTGAAAGTAAATGCCGTGACACAACATGAGGTAGACCCAACCGGATTGTTACGTTACCTTGCCTTTTTCTTTACCGGCTATTATTGGTGGCGCACATTATTCCATATAAAAGACCCTACAATATCTTTTTATTTATTTATTTATTTATTTATTTTTTATTTTTTTCTGCCAATGGCAAATTTTTTTTTTTTTCTTTTGATCCTTTTGTCAAAATCTATGCTATTGACGGTTTAATTTCTTAAAAAACCCTAATGAATAGTAGCGCACCCCGCCGAGAAACCACTTATTATAAGGCAACATAAAATGGAATTTTATCCATAAAAAAAAAAAATCTGAGACGTGGCCTAAGTTCATGTGCTTGTTGTCTGTGTTTGAAGCAAGCTGATTGGTGCAAAGTACTTTCGAGCTCAGGGTGAAGCACTCGACCCCTCAGAGATCGAATCACCGATAGACGTGGTTGGCCATGGCACGCACACTGCTTCAACTGTGGCGGGCAACTCTGTGGAGGGTGCTAACCTCTATGGCCTTGCTGAGGGAACCGCCCGGGGTGGCGTGCCCTCTGCAAGGATCGCAGCTTACAAAATATGCTGGAACAACGCCGGTTGCTCTGATATGGACATACTTGCGGGATTTGATGCAGCTATTGGTGATGGTGTCGACATCATATCTCTCTCAGTTGGTGGTCCTTCCACCAGCTATCTGACTGATGTCATAGCAATAGGCTCTTTCCATGCCATGAAGAAGGGTATACTCACAGCTTGCTCCGCTGGTAATGACGGGCCTATGCCTGAGACAGTGGAGAACTATGCCCCATGGATCTTCACTATCGCAGCATCAAGCATTGATAGACAGTTCAGAAGCAAACTGATGCTTGGTGATGGTCAGGAGTTCTCTGTAAGTCCCTACCAATTCAATGACTTCATTTCTTGCTAGGTAGCAATATCTAATCAATGGCAAGAGTAGATAACCCAAATATGGCTGTTCTTGCAAGCTCAGTTTGTGTGCAACAACCTGCCTCTCCCATTATAAGCTAAAACTTCAATAATTTTTTTTGCGAAATTCCCATGATCTTAGTCTCTTAGTTTTGTTGTTAATAACTTAGTATTGTATCTATATCCAGGGTTTGGCATTGAACACCTTTCCTTCCATGAAGAGTTTCTATCCTCTAATCACTGGTTCATCGGCTACCGACCCGTCTGCATCAGACAATATCCAATTTTCAAAGTAAGTTTTTTTTCTTAAATTTAAATTTTGTGTTGGATATAGGACCTCTCATTAGGATTTTTGTTTAACTAAAATGAGGTTAGGCACAACCATTTGTCAAAAGATTTTGGAACTCCACTTCTCTATAAACGTTTTCGATTCCTGTTCTTAATCTTTACTCTTCGTCAGTGTGCACTGTTTTGTTCAGTCAAATTTAAAGTTTGGTTTTGGTGATGGGATGGCAGAAATTGTATTTTGGGCTCCCTGCTACCTAAGAAGATCAAGGGCAAGATTGTGTTCTGTGAATCTTCAAGTGATGCCACAATTAAGGCATTAGCGGGCGTTGGCACTATCGTGAGCGCCGATGATTCTCTCGACGTGGCGCTCATGTTTGCAGATCCCGGAACCACTGTCAATCATAGCCACAGTGATTTGATCCTGAAGTATATCAATTCCACCAAGTAAGTTTCTAAAGAAGACTTTTGGGGTCAGTTGAACATTAAGTAAATAAATTCTGCAATTTGTGGTTTTAAATTTTTAATCAAGATTATAAGAATTAATTGGATCATTGAGTACATCAATTCCAAAATAAGGTTCAATCAAGATTTTGGAGGTTTATTAGCTAAAAATGGCTAATATAACTGAAAATCTGCCGTGTTGGAACGGATCTGGGGGATGGACGATGCAAGATGGGAATTCCCCTGAATCGCCCAAATTTTCAAGTTAGAAAAAGTTTTTTTAAAAGTTTCCTTGTGACTGTAACCAGGCGAATCGGAATTGGGCCCCTAACAAATGAGGTGCTAGCTCCCATTTGTAAGCACTTTTTAGGATCATGGCCATGGGTGTTCTTATATGTGGTCTAATGCAAGCCATTGTTTTCCATACACCAGGGCTCCCAAGGCACAGCTATTGAAATCAGACACTTTGAGAATGGATGATGCGCCTTTTATAGCATCTTTCTCATCTCGTGGGCCTAAGCCTGTGTCACCAAGAATCCTCAAGGTAATCCCCATTCGCAGTCTTTTATTCTTTGGGGAATAAGTGAAAAGAGAAAAGTATAAGGTGAAATGACAGACTCATTTCCACCCTGCTTTCGAGGGATTTCAGACCCAAAACACACCCAAATAACTGTTTAATCCATTCTGCCTTAGATCCATGGATTTGAAGTTTAAAAAACAGTGGAATGTTTAATCCATTCGACCTTAGATCCATGGATTTGGAGTTTAAAAAACAGTGGAAATTTGACTATTTTTGATGAATTAAAATGAACAGTCCAGAAAATACTACAAAGTACATCTTTCAAGGCCTTTTTTGGTTTTTTTTTCTTTCCTGTCAAATTCATAACCGTGATGGTCTAGATGATAAACTTGCAAAAGTCAGTCTCAAACTGCATTTTTGGAGAGGATAGACTTACTATAACAATTGTCTTGTGCACTGAAAACCAAACCATAATCGAAAAGGGGCATGGTTATAGAGCATGTTGTGATCTATATGACCAAGGGTCCATCATATGAGTTGTATGGTGATAGCGAGAGAATTGGATGTATAATTGAACTCTGTTATGGTTGGTAGGTCCTACTCTCTCTCTCTCTCCATCACCATCAAGCCCATTCATGACCATATAATTGAGTGCTCATATGATTCCATCTTCTTCCCTTAAGGAATGAAGGTCCATATGAGCCAGGATCACTTAAAGACCAAGAATCCGGGACCATTAGCTCGTTCCCGGATTTATGTGTTCGCAAGTGAGAGTATGTTCATCATTCCTCTGAAATAAATGCAAAAAATGGCAAATCTTATGTCATCGTCGAAGCTTGTGAAATTTTATTTATCAGCAATTTGCATTGGTTGATAACCAGCTTAAGTTTGGAGATTGAGTAAATGAAATGTTTTCGGTTTTCTTCATTGCAGCCTGACATTGCAGCCCCTGGACTTGACATACTAGCAGCATACTCCCCACTTGCCCCAGTCGATAGAGATTCTCCTGATGGTCGTGTGGCAAAGTTCATTATATTTTCAGGAACATCCATGGCCTGCCCTCACGCCGCCGGTGCTGCAGCTTATGTTAAGTCATTTCGCCCGACTTGGTCTCCTGCTGCCATCAAGTCTGCAATCATGACCACAGGTGAGATTCAAAACAACCCATGAATTTGTTTATTTATTTTATCTAATTTGATTTTTGTTGCAAACTTTGGGTTGTGGCCAATCTTTCACAATTCGCCATTGGATTGATAGTACATTTCTCAACATCTGTAATTGTAATTTGGCGGCCTACATAGCACTACATCGCTATCTCTTAGTTCTTCAGTTTATTTTAAACAGCCAAAACGACCAGCCTAATAATTGACAAATTTCCATTGTTCATGTTTCAGCCACACCAATGAACGCTAGCAAGAGCCATGACGCCGAGTTTGCCTATGGTGCCGGCCAAATCAACCCAACAAAAGCCTTGAACCCAGGGCTCATATATGATCTTGACAAAATGGCTTACCTCCAATTCCTGTGTCAAGAGGGCTATGATGGATCAATGCTATCCATCATTGCAGGCGACAACGGCGAGAAGCTCCCACCTTGTTCCAAGATGCACAAACCAAAGGGAGGCGACGGCCTGAACTATCCATCAATGCAACTAACTCTAAACAACACGAATCCCTTTTCAACTGTTTTCCGTCGAAGGGTAACCAATGTTGATAGCAAGGGATCTGTCTACACTGCTAGTGTACATGCACCAGCTGGTTTAGCTATAGTGGTGAAACCAAACAAACTTGTCTTCACTAAATCACTTGAAAAGAAGTCCTTCAAGGTCGTGGTAAGGGGAAATTTACCAGTGAATATAACCATGCTCTCTGCTTCACTTGTTTGGAGTGACACTGTACATAGTGTAAGGAGCCCAATTGTTGTTCATCTGGCTTAGGCATGTATATATATGTCTTATGTTTATTTTTTATTCAATTCCAATGGTTTTCAGTGAGACAGGTCATGGGTTTGAGCTTCTCTCTACCAAATCAAGGTGATTTGTTCCCCAAGAAAAAGAAAAATAATAATTCAATGTTCCTTTCTACCTATTGAGCAGAGGAAATCTTTTATCTTTATCTCTCTCTCTCTGGACTGAAATTGTAAGTTGGCTCTGTCTCTGGAGTGAATCTACTTTATTGGTTAAGTACACTAACCAAGTGAATCGGATGATTTGTTCCCCAAGAAAAAGAAAAATAATAATTCAATGTTCCTTTCTACCTATTGAGCAGAGGAAATCTTTTATCTTTATTTCTCTCTCTCTGGACTGAAATTGTAAGTTGGCTTTGTCTCTGGAGTGAATCTACTTTATTGGTTAAGTACACTAACCAAGTGAATCGGATGAACCAAGCAGCTAGGAATTCACTATTGATCTCAAATCCATTATTGAGTGCAATGGAGCGCATATTATAGCAGTGCACCAAAACTCGGCGAGTTTGACTCATCATTGTCGAGTTGCTTCAGACTCTGCGGGATTCATGGACCAAAACTATGAGAACCAGTGGTTTAAAAAACGGATTGGTGGCCCGGATCGGGCACCCCAAAAACCCATCCGGATCGGTAGATCGGCGATTCGGATCGGGAATCCACTGAATCGGTCGGATTCAGCGTTAAAAAAAATCTAAAAAAATTATTAAAATTCATTATAAATATTGTCTTTTAAGAATTTAATAAAAACTCGGGGTACTACATTATTAATCTTCATTTTTTCATCAATATGTGAATATTGAGATATTTTTTCTCTGTATGAACTCATTTTAACTATTAAATTATATCACACAAAATAAAAATCATGGAACTATTATGGATGAAGTATATAATCATACATGAACTACAATAAAGAATGATTTTTTGATAAGAACCTTTTAGTTTTTTTGACAAAAGCCTTTTACTTTTTTACAAGAAATGTTTGTCGTATTTCATTTTTTTTGTTTTTAGCAAGAACCTTTTTTTTTGACAAAAAATATTTGTTGTATTATTTTTTTTTATAAGAACCTTTTTTTTGACAATAACTTTTTATTTTTTTGACAAAAACCTTTTAACTTTTTGACAAAAAAAAGAAATTAGACAAGAAAAATAATTGATAAGAACCTTTCATTTTTTTTATAAGAAACTTTGTATTTTATTGATAAGAAAAAAATTTGACAAAAAGCGAAATTGATAAAAAAAACCTTTTATTTTTTTGATAAGAAATTTTTTTGACAAACAACGAAATTGATAAAAAAACCTTTCATTTTTTTATAAAAAAAACATTTGACAAAAAAAAAAAAAAACACATTTCCTCCCGTGAGGGGAGATTCAAACCAACGCCCTCCTCATAAGGAATGCATTTGATAAACAGTATCCTACATGCAATTTAACAACATTAAAAACGCAAACAAAATATATAATATATTAATGTTTCAAGATAATACATTTTCACATTATCCTATATTGAAAGGGTAAAAAGAAATTGTAGTGAATGAATACCTCTTTGTACTCACTGAGGATAAAGCGTGCGAAGTGAAGAGAGTTACGTGGTGAAAAAAATGCCCATTGTTGAAAAATCAGGCATATTTATAAAGGTAAGAAGGAAAACCTAAACGCTCTATTTATAAAGGAAAGAAGGAAACCCAAACTCTCTGTACAAGCCTACTTATAAAGGAATTTTTACAGATTGAATTGATATGTATAGGCAATAATGATATGATGGAGTGGGTTGACTTGATTTATAAAGCGGTCAAAATTGTGTTTGCCTAGTTTTGGTCGATTCGATCAGCCTGTTTTGATTGGTTCAACGGGCTAAACAAAATAGACAACTTTTTATAATATATTAAATATTTTTAAACTATTATTTAAAATTTGAAATATTTTAAAAATCACTTGAGCTGATTCTGTGAAGGATCAGATTGATTTTGACTAAACTAGTTAATTGATTTGAACTCGATGACTCTAGTTTAGACTTGAAACTCCCGCGTTGGTTGGCCATCAAACCCAAGATGGGTGGAAATAAAAATGGACCTAACCGAAATTCAAATGCAATGGTAGTTCTTAAAAAATATCACTTTTGAAATTTTCAAATATTTTCACGTATTCATGATTCTCAGGATTGAGATCATGGATCCTTAAATTTGGATCCAAATTCCATCTCAAGAATCATGTTTGGGCTTGACTGGTTAGTAGTCGACATTAATAATAATAAATTTTAAGTTGAATTTCCATTGTAGAACTAAAATAATAATAATAACAAGAACAAAATTCTACTACACACCATTACATGAATAGTAAAAAACAAAGGATCACTTCAAAGTAATGTAACCCATCCGAAGGTTACGACGTGAGTTTAAGTGGTCAATAATTGACATTAGCAATGTTACATCTCAAATTCAATTTTAGTGAACCACCCCATCTCACCGACCAATTGACTAACCCCTTTCGTCAGGTTAAACAACAATTACTTTGGTGATTACCAAGTGGTGTTTCTAAAATAATACCGAGAGATAAGTGCGTGGTGTAAAATCCCAACTATCAAGACGAGGTCCAAGGGTTAGACTAAGGATGGATCTATCGATTAGTCTCGTTTAGAGCGATAAAATAACAATTCAAAACTAGCATTTGACCTACTTTTGGCTTGTCCGACCGGCTGGTTTCGATCGGATTTTCTAGCATATTATATTTTTAATTGTCATTTATACATGTAATATTTTTAAATTTGGCTTAACCGATTCTAACGATGTTTAGATTGGTTTTGATGAAATCAAAATCTTTTTAGTAATTCAAGGCTATTTTAGTAAAAATTCACCACCACGGAGGGTTTTATCAAAGGTCGGAAGTTGAAATAGAAGTCCGTCCAAGTAAAAATGAAGGATTTTCCTTGTAGAAAATGGGCTTCCTCAAGTGTTTGGGGGCGGCGTCATCAGCCGCTCTTGCCTTCGTTTCTCACTCTTCATCTTCTCTCTCCTCGAATTCGAATAATAGAAGACCTCCGTCAAATTTAGGGTTACTGCGTTCAAAAACAGGGAACCAAGGGATCTCTTCTCAACTTTTTCGAGGATTTAAGCCTTTGAAAGCTTCTCTTTTCATGGATTCAGCAACATCTGATACTAATTCTCCCCAGCTGGTAAGATTAAGAAAACGAATTTTTTTTGGTAGGATTAGGGTTTTTGGATTTTTTGGGGAAGATTTGTTGAGAAATTAAGCTTTCTGATCTATTTTTTTTCTTTTTGTTTTCCATCTCCTTTTGTTTGCAGGATGGTGAAGTTTTACCCGAGATGCTGGTAAGTGTAGTCTTTGGGCATGGTTTCGGTGAAATTGGGTAGAGAATTTGTTACTGTTTGGTGGAAATTACTGAATATTCGGGTTGAAATCCAGGACAAAAATGTATCCAAACTTCATGGTGAACTCCAGGAAAGACGAATGGTTAAATTTGGTTGATTTTTTGCTGAAATATTCTCGAAGTTTGAATCATGGTTCATTCTGTGAATATATTGTTGCTATGGAGCATAACCCAATAACTTTAGGCTATTCAGTGAGAGGTAAATTAGTATTTCGTAATTCAGGAGTTTTGAAATTTACAGAAAAGTTGGAAGCACTCTACAAAATCTTCAGGGAAAAAAGTTGGGGAAATTTTTGATAAGATGCTATCAAATTTATGGCTTAGATAAAAGAAATCAGGTGAAATGTGGACTAAAATTTTTTGCAGAGTAGTTTCAATTTTTTCCTTTTTGCAAAATTTTGAATCCATTGGCTTTCTTTGCAGACAGAATTCATGGTTGATATGAAGTGTGATGGTTGTGTATCAGCTGTTCAGAATAAGTTGCAGACACTTGATGGTATGTGCCCTGTTTCCCAATATTACCTTGAAAGGATGATACCAACTCTTGAATTATCCAAAGTCTATGTTAATTTACCTTGCATCCTTTATCTCCATTTTATTGATACAAGATGTGTGTCCCAATTTAATGAATTGAATCGTTAAATGGTGCAAACTATCTTCTATGTTGAACTTTTGCATCCTCCTCCTTCCATATCATTGTTGAGTTTTATATGTTGGTAGGAGTCAAAAGGGTCGATACTGACCTGCCCAATCAAGTTGTAAGGGTGCTTGGTGCCATTCCTATCAAGACCATGCTTGATGCTCTGGAACAAACGGGCAGAAAAGCTCGGTTAATTGGGCAAGGGAATCCTGAAGGTTAGTTTTGAAATTGTTCAATTTTAAACAGCGAATTTCTAATATGTCTCATGAAATTTGGTTGCTCTATTAAATCTCTATTGTCAAAGGAATGTTTCTGCATTTTAGTGGGTTTATCATTACATTATCAGATTATTGCATGCTCTTGGTTTACTATTACATCGTTAGATAATTTGAGGTTTTCTGTTGCTTCCTTCCCATATTAGCTGTATAAGTTTCTGTAAAGATTTCCTTGTTAATTTCATGATTGTCTATTGCCTTTCTGTTTTTTTGTTTTGAAAAATGTTAACTGTATGTGTGTATTTATAAAATGCGTTACATGCTTTATGATAGTGGTATATGCTAGCACCAATAAACTGCTTTGAGCAAAATTGGGGAAACAAGACCCTCAGGAGGGTGAGCTTCACAAAATTACTCTCCTACTACCTTGAGAATTGCTATGTATTGGTAGTGTCAGATGTCTTCATTATGGACTTTTTTCTATCAGTGGAGGTTGAAGTTTAGATTCTTTAGTAAAGACTTCTAAGTCGAAATGTTTATTTTCTGATAATGTATTGTTTAGCTAATATTGTGCACAAAGGAAACTTTAAAGAAAGATAAGAATCTAAAACATCAACCAGAGAAAACCCACATGATCAGCAAACAAACTCACTCAAGATTGCATGAAATCACAAGCTTTTTTATTAAAATGGATCAGGAAGAGTTCCAAGCACCCATAGGTAGCTTGTTTGTTTTATTTCCAATGTTTTCATACCAAGCAACGGAACAAAACACCTTTGATCCAGGAATCAGAAAGACAAAAGAAATCAAGAAAATAGGAAAATTATAGTGATGATGATCTGGGACTGATATGAATCCCATATACCTTGCTTATCGAGGCAAGGAGATCGAAACTATTGACTTCCTCTCTCTAGAACTCCTCTAGCTTTGCTCTAAGATTTCTTGGTTTGCTCTCTTTTTATCTCGAAGAAGTATCATGATCTCTTCTATTTGAAGCTTTTTGTGAGTTGCAGCAATTATCCGATGAGTTATGACTCCAAATTTGTGCTGGAACTCTTGCTCGCTCTCTTGAATGATCCCAAAAGGATTTCTGGTATGTTGAAGCACACTTTTATATAATGGGCAAACTTGATATCCAAGTAAAATCTTCAATCTTTAGCAAGTATAACTCTTCAACTCTGGTGTTTCTGGGGCATTTTCTAATTTAGAAACATCCAAGCATAAAAAATCCAATTTAAAAACTTTCTCCTGGGTCCCAAGGTTGTCCAAGAAGAAACCCAATCAATTTGGAAATGAAAATCATGAGAAATCGTCAAAAAATGGATCTGTCGCAGAGGTGGAAGAGTTCTGCAGCAAAAGTGGAGAGACAGTCTGCAATAGAGCATACTGCAGTCTGGCAGCAGGTGAAGAAAAAAATCAAATGACCCTCTTCCCAGTCTCCAAAACTAGTGAAATTTTAGCTGAAGAATCCCGACTCAATTTGTCATCTCTCCACAAAATTTCAGCTCAAACAAAAATCATTGACTCCCCCAAATAATTCAGGAGGTGGAACCCATTTTCCAGTTATTTTCTGCTGCATAAAACTGGTTGAGAACAAAGAAATTTTCGATCAACCTATCCTCTCCCAACATCTTAATCTGCATTCTCACAAAATTCGAGCTCCATTGGTGAAATCTAGCATGGTCAACTGAGTTCTGCTGCAAAGCCTACTCTGTATAAATGGAATCTGCCTCGAACAGCAAGCAGTGAGGAATGGAATTTTTTTAAACTCCTTAGACATCTCCAGAAATTGTAGATTTTTTTACTAAAACTTCCTGAGACCTTTCCGGACCATCATAAAGAGTTTCAGAGTTTTTTGGCATCAAAATCATGGTCAAATAAAATCAATCACAAAATTCGTTCTTCACAGACTGCATTCTGCAAATTAGCGCTGTCTCCACTTATACATGTCCAAATGTTATGGAACTTTTACTGCATGTTCCAAAGTCATTTCTCTATCCAAATAAAAAATCTTGTGCTGATTGGATGTCATTAACATCACTCTTTTGAGCCCCTGGTGAGCTTTGTCAGCAGTCTGCTGCAGACTACAGCCAGATGAGCACTCCTTAGTTTGTGATTTATTCAGCCTGAGCCCGTGGTGAGCTTTGTGAGCAGTCTGCTGCAGACTACTGCAGATGAGCTTGCCCTAGTTTGGGATTTATTCAGCCCCTTTAGTGACATCAAGATTGCATAAATTTTTTTGTGCATGATGCCAATACATTCTTCTGTCCACATAAAAAATTTGGTTTTGATTGGGGTTCATTTACGTAACCTAATCTAAACCAGGAGAGACACCATTTCAGCAGTCTGCTGCAACCTGCAACAGATGACCACTATTCCACTTCACCTATGTGTGCCTCTCCAAACTTCTTGAATCTTGGGGACTTATATCAAAATATCATTTTAGATCCCTCCTCAAAATTTTGGATCATTTGGACACTGTTTGGCCCAATTTGTCAAGTCTATCACGGAACACTATTCGTTCTGCTGTTGACTGAACCAGCTCCACATTTTACGAGGTTCGAGTGCATGACCGCATCTTACATTGTTTTCCAGATCTTGCCATAGTCCCAAACTATTAAAATTATTACCATTAATATCAAGGACTATACAGTCTTTTCCGATTTGTTTAGGTGTGTTACAGAACACCCCCAAATATGTATTCCTTGAAACCTGTCGCTAATCACTGTTAATGTATTTCTTTCTTCTATGCTGTGAAAGAAGTAATGCTTCTTCCTTCTGTAACTGGTTTCAAGTTTTTGCTAGTCTTGCAGTTATATGTCAATGCTCACGTTTCTCGACTTCCATGCTTGGCAAAAGTGCATGACCATCAATGGGGCTTTGAAGTTAGGCTTGTTAGGTCTTACTTTGCTCTCTTCAAGAAATTTTTGTATGCTAGAAAATACCTTCTGTTTGACGAACCATAATGCATATTTCAACTGTAGGCCGAGAAGCAGGTTAGGTTGGGTTTTGGTCGACCTGAACGCAATAGATTTCAGGCGAGACCTGGACCTGTTGGGCCTTGTGCCCAGATATACAAGAATTTAAATATATACATAAAAATTTATACGTGAAATATTTATAAATTTTAATATATATTTCCTTTATCATTGATAAATATATTATATTTATATATAGCATGTCGGATTGACCTGGGCCCAACTTGGTATGGCTAGCAGGATTCGGACCCACCCTGACCTGACCAGGTCTAAGCCTAGTGGTCAGCATTCGGGCCTGACCAATAGCGGGTCCACCAGACCTGTATCCCCCATTCCAACTGACTGCCACCATGTGTTCTGATATGCAAACTTGCTCAATTTAATATTGCTAATTCAGCCAGTTTACGACCAGTTGTTGTTTGGATTTAGCCTTCTGTTTGTTAATATAGTTAGTGCCTACCATTACATAGCTTAATTTTTTATTTCATTGCGGTTGGCATCTACATCATAGAAATAATATCATGTCAGATTATGTCTTTTTGATCCGTTCTTCACTTTATAAGAACTTCTTAGGATATCTGGCCTTGTTTAAATATTCTGACATGTCATCAGGCAAAGTCCATCTTTGAAACACTGAACACATGAAAGGCTTGGCTCCTTTTTGAGATAGGTTGGGTTGGGGGTCCTCTGGAGATAGATTAATGGATGTCACCCCTTTACTAGCATGTGAAATCAATGTATTTTGCTGGCAAAATATACCATTTATTGAACTCTACATGTTAAAGCAAATCAAACACTTAGTTTAATATTATAGGAAAATTTATAAAAAATACTCATAAGAGGAACCATTTAACATCCTACCCATCGGCAACTATTTCAACTCAAGATCATGTGCTCTTCTACAGGTATTTTGAAATTAAATCAAAAGGCATGGGTACCCTTACATGCAATTAGTTGGGACACAATTTTGGCATTTCATAGGGAGAAGAGAAATATTCGAAAGGGGTTGTGTACATGTAAAAGTAAAACCACATAGGCTGAACCTGAATATCGTATTGCTTGGCAACATGGCATTTACAAACCTGGTCTTTGAGTCACATTGTTCACAAGCTGAGGGACTGGGTTTTGCCACATGCATGGACCCTTGTAAAGGATTACTCTAGAGTCCTGTGTATCTCAACTAAGAAAAAGTGCATACCAGTCAAGCATGTTAGAGCATGGTTTTCGAGTCTGTATAATTTTTGGTTTTCTAAAATAATAATAAGTTTGCCTCATACATGTGAATTAGTTCTAGTCTCCAGTAATCTTCCCTTGTTTTTCTCTTTAATCTCATATTTCCTTTGGAAAATTTGACACCCCAACTCCCCCCCCCACCACACACACACAAAAAACAACACACACACACACACACACAAAAGAAAAGAAAAAAAAAAAGAGCTTGGTCGTGGTAGTTTTGATGATAGCATTTGGGAAAGCGCTTTGCAGTGGACTCCAGGTGGTACTCTGATTAGGGTCTTCTCTTGTTCTAGGAAGTATATGTTTTGAGATTGAATCAGTGTTACTTCACTGTTAGTAGTTGATGCACAAACCCACGAATAAGATACCAGTATGTCGATGACTTCTCTATGATTCCATTCTCACATATTGAAATTAGGAATTCTTTTTACCCAAATTTTCATATTTGTTGACCCCAATGTTGGTAGTAAGTGTTTTAAGTTAAACAAACTCTTTTTTATGTTCATGGAAGATGTTTCTTGTGCAGATTTTTTAGTTTCAGCTGCAGTTGCAGAGTTCAAAGGCCCTGATATTTTCGGTGTTGTTCGTCTGGCCCAAGTGAATATGGAGTTGGCAAGGATTGAAGCTAACTTCAGTGGGTTGTCACCTGGGTTGCATGCTTGGTCCATAAATGAATATGGGGATTTGACGGAAGGACCGGCAAGTACTGGAAAGATTTTCAATGTGGGAAGGACTTCTGAAGAGGTTTGGTTCGATAAGCTCCTTAAAACCAAACCTTTTTTTTTATAATTAAGGAATACCATTAAGGGCCTCCATTGCATGTCTTCCTTCTTGATTTCTTGCATTGTTTCAATGTTCTTATGATATTGGAGTTCAATTATCATGACTATGATCTCATAGTTTTGAATTTATGACAAAAGTTGTTGAGAGAACCTTTTACATTGCTAAGTCTTACATTGATTAAAAACAAGCAGAAGGCAGTGTGTTTTTTTGCAATACATGATCAGGAAATTCATTAGAAAACAAAAAGGCCCTTAAAGATTGGAGCAGGACCGTCCTTGGGAAATTTTCCATTTTGAAAATTTCTCACCTCAACTCCATTAAGGAGCTTGATAGCTTAGAGGAATCCCGACCCCTGTACCCCTCTGAAATCAATCTTAGGCCTCAAAACAAGTTGGAATGTTTTTCCACCCTTAAGAAAGAAGAAATATTCTGGTTTCAAAGGTCCAGGGTGAAATGGTTACACCTTGGAGATCTTAACAATTGCTTCTTTCATCGGATTGCTAATTGCAGGCGTCGGGATAATTCCATATCCCTTCTCAAGGTAGGCAACTTCATCTTGGTCCATTTGGACCAGTTTGAAGCTGCTGTTCTGGTCATCTACCAAGACCTCTACTTGGCACCCTTAGACGCTATACCTAGAATGGGGGACCTTCAATTGCGCTCGCTTCCACACAATTGGATTCATTGGTTGGAACGACCATTCTCTGAAACAGAAATCTTGAAAGCCATCTCGGATCAGGGCAAAGATAAGGCGCCAGCGCCTGATGGCTTTCCCAAAGCTCCCTTCAAGGCCTTCTGGGAGACTGTCAGGATGGACTTCTTAAACTTCTTTGAGGAGTTTCACCACAGGTAATCCTGTCCTGCATAAAGCGATTAATGCGACTTCCATTGCTTTGGTCCCAAAAGTCGAAGGAGTTGAGGAATTGAAGGATTTTAGACTGATTAGCCTGGTCAACTCCTCATACAAGATCTTTCCAAAAGTTTTGGCGTCGAGGTTGAAAGAAGTGCTTCCTTTCATCATCTCCCTATCCCAAAGTTCTTTCATTAAGGACAGATAAATTCTAGACGGTGTCTTGGTAGCACATGAGTGCCTTCATTCTAGACATTTGTCGAAAAACCGGGCCTCATTTTCAAGATTGATTGGGAGAAAGCCTACGACCACGTAGATTGGTCACTCTTGGATGAAACCATGGGTAGAATGGGATTTGGGGACCGTTGGAGGAGGTGGATGAGGGGCTGTTACTCAAACACCCATTTTTCTATTCTGATCAACAGTTCTCCCAAAGGTTTCTTCCCAGCCCCTAGGTGTCTTCTCCAAGGAGACCCTTTGTCCCCTTTTCTTTTTTCTGTTGTTGCCGAAGTCTTCAGCCAATCGATCTCCCGCCTGTACCTGGCAGGCCTCTGCCACGGGTTTAATAGCAGTACGAGGGGACCCATAGTCTCCCACTTGCAATATGCCGATGACACTCTGGTGTTCATTGATGCCACCCTTGCAGATGAGGGAATGCCTTCTAATGTTCCTCATGTGTTTTGAGTTTGCCACTGGCTTCAAAGTAAATATGGAAAAATCCACTATGATAGGGGTCTCTCTCACCACTGAGGAAACAAGAGCATTGATTCCAGATTGGCTATGTAAGGTGGAGGATCCCCCAACCAGCCATTTGGGGATGCCTCTGGGCATTGGTAAACCCAAGAAGAGACAGTGGTCAAACGTCTTTGATAGAGTGGACTGCTGGCTACCCGGTTGAAAGGGGAGGTTCCTCTCTTTCGTGGGACGATTAACCCTCATAAAGGCAACACTCTCTAACACCCCCGTCTATCTCATGTCTCTTTTTCATATGCCTGCAGTAGTAGCCGATCGTTTGGAATCAGGGGACTTAAAGTAAAAACAGATCCACCTCGTTGCCTGGGACAGAGTCTGCCTTCCTAAACATCAGGGAGGGTTAGGGATTCGCTCCTTGAGAAAACAGAATGTGGCTCTGTTGGGAAAATGTGGCTCTGGTCACAAGTGATTCGCTGTAAGTATAGAATCCCTGGCTGTTAGAGGGGAGGTCTTCAAGTAGGCCTTCAGGTGTCTGGAAATCCTTCCTGTCGGCCCTATCTAGGGTTTGTTTTTGTCAGACCTCTGGTTGGGTCACACACCCATTAGGGAACAATTCCCCTCTTTGTTCTTGCTTGCCACCAACCCTTCTTCTTGGGTCTCGGAAGAACTACCGGTTGCCAGTAACGGTAGGGTTTGGAACCCTTCCTTTAGACAATCTCTCTTTGATGCCGAGCTCCTTGATTTCATATCCCTCTCTGCCTTGCTCCATGATACTTTCCTCGCCCTCTCCTGGTCGGATAGAATCATTGGACCCTTGAGGCCTCGGGTACATTCTCGATTTCTTCCTTCTACAAGATTTTGCTCCAACCCCCTACCCACCTCTACTCTGTGGTATCCAAGGTAGCGCCGCCGAAAGTGCAAGCTTTCAATTGGATAGCAGGTTCTGGAAGAGCGTTAATTGTGGACCAGCTTAAGCGCAGAGGAATTCCTATCCCGAATCGTTGTGTTATGTGCCTCTGTGAAGAAGAGAACCATTCTCACCTTTTCATACATTGTGACTTAGCTCATAACCTGTGGAGCAGGCTCTTTAGCCTTTTTGGTTTGACTTGGGTTATACCCGCCTCTAACCCTGCCGTCTTAACCTTGCCAAGGGCTCCCCTTGGCCGAATCCGGTAGGATTCTTTGGAAGGCCTCCATAGAGGCCACAATTTGGGTCTTGTGGACGGAAAGGAATGCTAGGATCTTTCGAGGAGTCAAAAGTGAAACCTCTACCCTCTTTCACAAGATTCATACTCTTGTGATCTTCTGGGCCACTAATCACAAGGTCTTCAAGGACTTCCCCTCCTTGTTCCTCTCGAACTGGCAGCAGATTCTCCTGGTCCAACACCGTCATCCCTCTCGACTTGGTGGCTGGTCCCCTCCCCTGCACAGTTAAGTTTAATTTCGCCAGGTGTTCCTGTGGGAACCCTGCTCCCTCTGGTGTAGGGGGGGTTTTCAGAGATCACTAGGGGAACGTCCTGGCGTCTTTCTCCAAACACATCGGCCAGGCTGTGTCACAGCTCTCTGAATCGCTGGCTCTGCTCACGTTCCTCAAGCTCTTCGATCCTGAGTGGAGCCAACCCCTGCTGGTGGAAGGGGATGTGCGCAATATAGTTTCTTAGGCTGCTGGTCTAGTTACCCCTCCCTGGTGTCTCGCCCCTATTTTTGACGAGATCTCTCACCTTTGCAGGGATACAGCCATTTCTTGGACGCATATTTGGAGAGAATCAAACGGCCTGGCGGACCACCTAGCTAAGGAAGGAGCGGTAGCGCTAGTCGTAGCCGCTTCTTAGTTCTTCGGCTCCCTATTGTTCACAGCTGCGACTTCTTTTGGCCTTTTGGGTTGTTTTTGGCTATTCATCCTCTTTTGGTTCTACATCTCTCTACAGCCCCTGTTTTTGCCTACTATTGTACATTGGTGTAAAGGGTGCTATTATAAGACCCTCTTTTTGTACAGGACATCTTCTTAGAGGTTACCTCATTTTTTTGGCTGAGAGGCCTGGATTAGGGGCTCTCTCCTTGGAGCTTTGTATCTCGTTCCTTTTTATTTAATGTTAACTTCATCAAAAAAAAGAAAAGAAATTCATTAGAAAACTGCAAATAGCCAAATGCAAGGTACGTTATCTTGTCGAGTTCAAGCTTTGTGTGACAGCATCAAGATGAGTGGAAGACAATGCGACTGTTGTGGTGGTGTTTTTTTGTGTTTTTTATTTTTGTTTGTTTTTTTTTTTTCATTTTTTTTTTTTGTTTTTTGTTAAGTTGGGGAGGGAGGGGTGGGGTTGGGTTGGGTGTTACCCAGCTTGCGTTACTTTCTACTACGGTCTTTACCCTCTTCCGGAGAGGGGACAAAGAAAAGATGGATAGAAAACCTTGGTACTCTCTCTCTCTCTCTCTCAAGGCTGTGGTGGTTATGTCTCTGTGTTGGTTCCACTTCTCCATCTCTCTTGGATGTGTCGGTCAGTCTGAGATTGGAGGATGGGGCTGCGGGGTGATCTGCCTGAAGGGGGAGAGATTTCAAGGTGAGATAGGTTGGGAGCTGAATTAAGTTGTGCTGAAGTAAATTATGTTCATGTAGGGGGTCCCTTGAGATTGTTTCCATGGAATGTTTCTCCTAAGCTATTGTATTGATAATTAGAGACGCTGGTAGAGCTGGGACACTGGTTATGATACTCAATAACCAGCTCTGTCCTGTTAGTAACCACAATCTTACACAGGTCCTCGTTTCTGAGCCCGAGATTTTGTCAATAGCGTGGTTTTCCACAACCATTGAAGAGTAGTAGGCATCCTAAGTTTTGAGTCCTTGGATAGTTTTTCTTCGGATTGGGGGACGTGGGGTATTTTTCTGTTACGCTGTTGTGCTCAAAATGCTGCCAAGACTGCTCAAAAGAGAAAAAAGAATTTGTTGCTCTATCCCCAAAGAAGGGGACATCTTGGATATGACTCCTGACCATTTTGAGCGGCCAGGCTAAATACTCCGCTCATGCTTAAGTGGGAGTTGTGCTAAATACTGTAGCAGAAAAAAATTGTTAAATTTTTTTTAAAATATAAAACAAATAAAAAATATATTTAAATTAAGATTGAGCAAAAACATATATAAATGAGGTTAACTAAATGAGGTTAAGGAAGTAGTAAAAAAGTAGTACATCAGTTAGGGTATTTTTGAAATAATCTAAAAAAGTTGTGAAAATAAATATTTATGACCAAAATACTTTTCAATCTAGAGCGTGTAAATAAACATGCCCAAATTATCTTGGCCGATTTTTCAAACACTGGTTGAAATAGTACAAATTTGGAGGATTGCACGTGTCCAAGTGAAGCTACTTTTTCAACATGGCCATTAGTATGTCCAAATCGGAGCCTAAATGTGTGATCCCAAAGGCTTGCTTGTTGAGTTCGTGTGATCTTTTTTATCTACCTTCTATGTGATTGTGAATTGCAGATGTAACGCTAAGACAAAACAGCCTTGACCAATTTCGTTCTCTCTTTGATTTAGCCAATTGGTGACCTGGGAACATTAGAAGCCAGTAAGGCAGGCGAGGCCTATTTCTCCGGCGTTAAGAAAATGCTTTGTGTTAACGACCTCATTGGCCGATCCATCGTGGTGTATGGTAGCGAGAACAAGTCGGATACTGGCATAGCTGCTGCGGTCATTGCTAGAAGTGCAGGCGTAGGTGAGAACTACAAGAAGATCTGTGCTTGTGATGGTACCATCATTTGGGAATCAAGCGATGCTGATTTTGAAACTCAAGTAAAAGCGTGATACCTAGAGCTTCAGACCTCTAGGCTACCAGTTCTAAACCAGAAGGTACCTGTAAAATCTTATCATGTATACTTGGAAAGGGAAGTAGGTAAAATGTTATGGATGTGTATTAATATCATGTAAACTAAGAGTAGGTAAATTTCGGGTGCTACATCGATTGGCAATTTGGCATCAAATGGTATCTGGTTTTTTGAATGCCTTGTCCATTGACTCTTGGCTGTGATGTGCATGAAACTGTAGTTTAATAGAAAATTACATTCCCAAGTTTACTCATAGCATGGGCAATTTGCTCTCATGAAATTAACACTGTTTATTCTGAAGTTGGTCCTCATGTTCAAAACCAGTTTACAGATAGCATCAGTAAAAAAAACATAGAGAAAAAAAAAAAAAAAAAAGGAAGAAAAGAAAAGGAGAAAAAAGATGATAAATAAGGGGAAAAAACAAACTTCTCTTCGATCATATGGGCGCTAACCATGTAAGAACGATGGGGCTTCGAACCTTGTGGATCCCATCGGTCCACACCAGTGCTCCAAGCGCTGGTGAGGTCTGTTGAGACTTTGAAGTGAAGATCACCTCATAGGACAGCTTCTGATATTTTTCAGTAAAGTTCAAGGTTCTTGGCTTGACTATAACGTCTGCTCCCACAATTGGGGCAATTCTAACACGATAAGTCGAAACCGGAGACCCCACATTAGTCACAGTTCTTCGCACCGAAACTGTCGAGGTGACCGGCTTCTCTGCAAACACAGCTGATATTGCCGGATAATTAAGATCACTTGGAGTGCGGAATGCATGTCGACATGTTTGATTTGTCGACTTTGAGAACACCTTTAGTTGCTCTGGTGTTAACTTCACCGAACATAGGAATTCGTAGTAGTCTTGTGGGTTGATGTCATATATTAGGCCTGGGTCCAGGGCCCTGGATGGATTTATATGGCCAGCTCCATGGTCAAAGTGGGTTGAAGGTTTATCCGTCGCTGCATCTCTTAGTGAGCCATGTGTGTTGTCATGCACATAGGCGGTGGTCATTAAGGCTGACTTGATGGCGGCCGGGCTCCAATCAGGGTGTGCCGCCTTGAGGAGTGCGGCTACTCCACTCACGTGCGGGCATGACATGCTTGTCCCCGAAAGAATATTGAAAGCTACCCGCCTCCGGTCTTGCTGCAAGCTAGAAGGGGGTGCATCACCTGACCAAGCAGCAAGTATGTTCACCCCTGGTGCCACCATGTCGGGCTTTAGAATCTCTAATGTCAAAAAGTTGGGCCCTCTTGATGAGAAAGCTGCCACAACAGGTGCTGGTCGAATACCGAGCTTGGTTCCGATGAATGAGAGTGTGCCGGTGGGTCGAAAAGTGGTTGATACATAGTGTTTGATGGCCTTTCCGGCTGTTTCACCGACTGAGACCGCTGAGATCAGGTGTGCATCAGCCACAAGCTCCTCCCCATTCGCTGCTGTGTTGGCCAAGATCATGCCCATGCCTCCTGCCTCTTTCACCACCTGCCCCTTCTCCACTCTCGGGCTTATACCTCGATCACATATAACGATTTTCCCAGCCACCTTCCTAGAATCCAACGTGCCGGTTAAACATAGGGAGCTTGGCTCTGGTGTGCTAGAATTACCAGTCAAGTAAACAAGCGGATATTGTTTGTTTCTAGATAGATTTCTTCTCCCCTTGTATAGAGAGACACCATGAAAGCTACGTTTGTTTCCTAAAGTCACAGTTGAAGGGAAGTCTCGGTCCATGGTGCTGGCCCCGACAGTGGCAATCCATGGCGAGACATTGGTGAGGCTCACGGGATCGGGTCCTGCATTACCGGCTGAGCACGACACAAACACTCTCTTCTCCATTGCGCCAAATGCTGCCACTGCGAGGCTATCACGATAATATGATGACACGCCTCCCCCTAGAGAGATGGAGAGAACGTGAACACCATCGGCCACTGCCCTATCGATTGCTGACAATATGTCGGAACTGAAACACCCATTTGCCCAACACACCTTGTACACAGCTATACGTACCCCGGGTGCCATACCACGGGCAGTGCCATTGGCATAACCGAGGAGGCTGGCATTTGGAACGGGTGCACCAGCCACAGTAGCGGCGGTGTGGGTGCCATGGCCATCATGGTCACGTGCTGACTTCACCTCCCCTGTGTCGTTCATGCTCCCTGTTGCCGCCTCATAACCACGATAGAAAACCCGCGCACCTATCACTTTCTTGTTGCAGTTTACTTCAGGGGTGAAGTCAGGGCTGGCCTCACACCTACCGTTCCATCCTGCAGGGGGTGGGGCCATTTGCAAGTCCCTAAAGCTCGGGCTCTCGGGCCATATCCCGGTATCAAGAATACCGACCACCACTTGATGGCTTGATGCGATCTTTGCCCAAATGTTTCCACCTGTTTTGTTATTTGTGGGGATTATGCGGAGGAACTCAGGGCTCCTTGTGGTGTGGAGGTGGTACATGACCTCGGGGTACAGGGCGACTACCCCATGGACAGACTCGAGTTTTTGGGCCTCCTCTCCCGTTAATTTGGCCGCGAACCCATGGAAGGCGTTGTCATAGTGGTAGAGGATTCGATGGCTAGTGGTCTCCGTGTTGGCGTCGGTTTCGGGCTCGCTGGCAATAACTGATCTGAGTGTGGAGTGGTACCAGTCGAAGTGGTGGGTGAAGGACTCTGGTATTTGCGATTTGTCCATTTGGACTACATATGTTTTTGGCATGGTGGTTGACACCGAGTTGCAGAGGGTGGTTGCCGCCAAGAGGACGCAGGCCATGCCCAGCCATGGCCCCAACTGTTTCATGTCCGGTGAGCCCATTTGTATCTACAGGGAGAGAGAGAGAGAGAGAGGAAGGCCTGGAAGAGTGAGGATGGGCTAAATCTGCACTTCCGTGGGTTTGGCCATGTGGGGGAAGAGAGGGAGTGTGATGAAGGCTAAATATCTGCTTTGGTCTCGGCCATTCAGTGGGACAGAGTTAGAGGGAGAGAGCAGAGAGTTAGAGAGAGGGAGAGAGCAGATAGTTAGAGGAGAGAGGGAGAGAGCAGATAGTTAGAGGAGGGAGGGAGAGAGAGAGGGAGAGAGCAGAGAGAGTTAGAGAGAGTACTTCTCTGCCACTTTGGTTTTGCAGGCACAATAAAGGGGGTGGTTCGCAGTGAGTAAATGAGAGGGGGGTGCCAGAGGCGGATTCATCGGCAAAAGCAACTGTTTTGGCTCTCTTTTATTCGCCTCACCTAAACCTTCATCACACATGGAAACCGTCGTGGCCTCTCTCACACGTGTGTACCATGCATATAACCATCTCTCTCTCTCTCTCGACAAAGCTCAAATTTTATTTCCTAGTTTCTTTTTTTAATGTAATTTTCGTTTTGAGCTTCTTCTTCAACTCTGTATTTCCATGGGATCAATTTTAAGCGAATATTTGTCGTCTTAGAACATTTTATTTTGAAAATGTAAAAAGTTGAAATACGGCTTCGGCCTGATGCAAAAAGAAAAGAAAAAGTAAAGTGGCATCCCAAATCTCACCAAATTTGGCCGTTGAGAACTCCTAAATTAATCATCTCAACCTTGACCATCATAGATGATGGCTTAAATTAATCGTCTCAACCTTACTGACTGTAATGGATGATGTGAGAAAAATTAAGTTTTAAAAATATTTTTATCTTATAACACCTTATTCGTCCATTTTCTTGTGTCTATTGATACGAAAGACCTGTTCTATTTTTTAAACTTCAAATTTTATAATCAAAAGTGAAAATATACTTTTGGATTATCTTAGGCTTTGTGGGAACTGCATTCTTGGAAAGCTGTGCATGAGTGAGTTTAAAAATATGATAAAAGTAAACATAAGTGAGTTTAAAGATATGATAAAAGTAAAAACGGTGAACATTGTCCAACTAATGGAAAGCTTTGTGTCTGACCCCACCACATGTAATGTAGGGTGCAGTTGGCAGAACATGTAATTTAGGGTGCAGTTGGCATACGGATGCATCCGTAACCTTAGAGGTAAGGTGCACTTTCAAATTTTATTATGTTATATAATTTTGATGTAAAATGTTATTAGAATTATTTTAAAATTTATTTTTATATTTAATTATAAAATTTTAAATTTAAAAAATGGTTAAAATCAAATAGATCTATAAAAACTTATGAAAATCTTGAAAATGGACGGTGTCGATAATATGTTGTAAAATGCACTAATTTTTAGATTAAAAATCTTTTTATTTTTCATGATCATACATCTCGATGTCGAGATGATCAATCAAAGGGTTGTTCAACATTAAAATTACATTTTTCGATGGATTTTTGAGGTGCATCCGTAGTTCTACATTATAAGTTTGTATCCTTGTATAAACTTTTTTTTTAATATATGCGTAAACTTTACAATAGCTGAGCAGCTATAATAAATAGTAATATAGGTGGAGGCTTAATTGTGAGATCTTCATTGAGTGGTTTAAAATATATATCATTATTTTAATTTTAATTTTTTTCTTCTATAAATCTGATTAAGATGAAATTTTGGGTGTATATACCTAATACTATTGTGCACTATATAAAAATATAAAAAAATTATTTTCAATAACTTAAAATGATCAAATTACCCCTATCATTTTTTAGGGGTATTTAGGTCATTTTATATTTTGAAAAAATATTTTTTTTATATTTTTTAAGAGTAATGATACTATAAGATCCTTCCACATCCATGTGAGTAGGGACCCAAAGGATTACCATTAAATTTTGACATATATATCTAGAAAAGTTATCGATAAACTCATTCACCCAAGTTCCACACTCATGTGATAACTTTTCTAGAGATCTGTGTCAAAATTTAATGGTGATCATTTGAGGTCTTACTCACATGGGTGTGGGAGGGTTTCATAGTATCATTATTCATTATTTAATTGTGCGCTTTATTTTTTAGTACACATATCTAAAATTTCATTATGATCCGAATTTTAGAAAAAAATATTAAAATTCATATAGTGATATAAATTCTGAACCACATGACGAAGATCTGACGGCTAAAATTCTACCAATGTTATTATTTATTATAGCTCCTCAGCTATTTGTTAGCTTTTTCTATAAAGCATATGTGACTTTTAGTCACAACTTGTCTAGAGTGTTTTATTTTTAATTTTTATTTTACAAATAATTTTGCAGGAAAATTAGGTTATCTATATATCTAATAGAGATGTACATTATAAAAAAAAAGAAAAAAAAAATTCTTATGATAAAAAATTCCTAGATTTCTTCTGAAATTTGGAGATCTATGTCATTTAATTTTTTAAAAAATATATTTATTTTATTTTCGTTAGATGCGCCCAAATAAGAAGAGGGGACATGCTAAATTTCATTTAAACGTTTTTTTGTAAAAAAATAAAATAAAAATCAAGCAATATGATATCGCGAGACTGCGACATAAACGATCTCACCTATCTATTAAGATCGGACACTAAGAGGTGGGATCACACAAACTTTATAGGTACGTGGGCTCACACATGAAGCTTTTTCTTCCCATTAAAGGCATCAACGAGAACGAAATATTTGTTCTGGACGAAATTTTGCCAATGTTTCGGGGACCATTTGATGGGAAGTCAGGGGACCATGGTCGATGCCGTTATGTTGGGGGTGTCTTTGAATGAAATAACTGACATATAGCAACTACCCAAAATCTCTGTCATTCTCTTCCCCTCTCTCTCTAGCATTTATTCCACTGTGGTTTAAGAGTGGCTCTACCCTTATTCAAATCACTGCACCCACCGCCACCGCCACCGCCACCGCCACCGCCCAACCCACCTCCTCGTTTCTCAAATAAATCTCATAAATGCAAAATTTTGAATCCAAAATCCATCTCCCGGAAGGATGCACTCATTGTCACAAGTACAACCCCTGGTGCACCTAAATCCCACTCTTTTCTTAATTTGTTGTGAATTTGTGATTAGATATTATAATCAAAGGTTATCCTAATCGGGGTTCCAAAATTCAAAAGGGTGGGGCGGATCCGTGTAGGATCTTCGGATCAATGATATGGATCAGTTCTAGATCAATCCAAATTAATGATCTAGAAAATATTGAAAGATAAATAAAATAAAAATTAGGATTTATAGGGTGGGGATTTTAGAGGGACCAGGAAATAATAGATAGTTGGACCAAGACTCATACCTTCCTAGTACCATTTCGGGTGTAAATTTTTTTTTTTTTTTTCTTACCATTCTTTTTACTTTCTAAGGTCATAGGATTTATTCTTTTTGATGTTTTGGACCTGAGGCAAAAAGTAGATTTATATTGGGTGAGGTTTGTTTAAGTTGTCCATCTTATACCATATAAGATGCATCTCTAAATTTTGTGGAAAGCTGCAGATCCAATGCCCAAAACCTTATTACGACTGCAATTCCATATTTTATCTTAAATATAAAATTTAAAATTTAAAAAATAGTGCAGATTGAGCATATCTATAAACACTTCAAAAGCTTGAAGGTAGATGGTTCCGATAACTTGTTATAAGGTAAACTATTTTTTGGACTTACAATTCTTTTTTTTTCTTTATACTATACATCTGGCGGTCAAGATGATCAATTAGAAGATTTTCAAAGTTCGGAACACGCCTTCTACTGGGTTTTGGAGGCCCACCTTACTTCTATAAGGTTGCAACCATATATAAACCTTTTCTAATTACATTTGTCCAGGATAAATATTTTGAAAGCTAGAGGGGAACCATGATCAGTTTGGTCTCCATATATTTTTCCTTAGCCATAAGCTTGGTATTAATGAAGCATAATTTTGAAGTTTGTTGGTATATGATCTTGTTGGGGAAAGAGGTATGGTTTCTCCGACAAATAGACAACACTTAGACAATAAAGAATTAGTGAAGTTTTGGATCCATCGATTAGGTCACCATAGATATGTGCACTAGAGAGAAAAAGGTGAAGAAATGAGGGAATGCGAGAAACAAGGAAAAGTAGGGTTATGATTTTGCACATGATGTCTGTTTCATGATTTCGCACAGGCATAAAATAAAAAAAAAAGTGTGTAAATGCACATTGGAAAAGTATTTTGTAGGGCTGCCGTTTTATAAAGCCTCATCTCAAACCTCATTGAAAAATGTAGTTTTTTATCAGAGTAAAATTTGGAAGCTTGCAAGTTTCGATCTGGAAAATCATGAAAAAAAAATATTTCAAGCCTTAAGCATGGTTCACATCTTTTTTTTTTTCTTTTGAATGTCAAATATTAGTTTCATTAGATAAAGAAGTAAAGCTTCATAAATACATTAGTAATCAAAGAGAGAAAGAAATAGAAGAATAAATGCAGTAACCCTACTTCCAAAGATGATCCACCTTGATTTTCAGACATAACATGAACTCTATCCTCGAAAGATCCTGCACAACCAACTGCCTAAAAAGCCATCTAAACCGCACACAACATTTCGAAAGACATTCACCACAGAACCTCTAAAATGAAATCCAAACTTCTCAAAGACAACCCATAAACACCTTCCCATCCCACTGGTAGTTACCTCGCAGGGTGGGGTAGGGTGGCGTACAACCTACTACGGCGCTTGAAACAACAAGAAGAAAAATATGGCAACATACAGGAGGTAGCGGTACAACCAATAACCAAAAAGTAGGATCTAAAATGTTGGTCAAAGGAGAAGCAGGAGAAAGGGGAAAAATTAGGATAGTGAAGTGAAATGGCTATAGTAAAGAGAAGAAGAACCTAAGAAAGGGCCTGAGGTCGTGGTGGTAGCACATCTCATGCCTCAGTTGCACGTTGTGACTTTCGTTCCCATTAATAGTTTCAAAAGCCACTAACTAATTCAAAAAGGGTGGGGCGTGTCATCCCCACTAAATTACCCAAAAAAAATCTACCCTGAGCTATGTACGATCTCAAAACTGCAACATGTAGTACACTGTAGGCATACTGCCTGTTCATATAAACTGCATCATTTTGTCTCAATGGTGATGATATAGATGAACAATTATATATATGGCTGATCGGTGAAAGCAGAGGACATATTTCATTGCACGCTACCCACTAACCAACAAAAACCAGACAATATGTGCATTTGTAGTCCAAATCAAAACATCGAGGTCAGAATTCAATCAATAACACAAAAATTTGGTCATGTCGTTTCGACGATTTGTGTCATGCCACACTACTAGGTAGATGTGTGTCGAATAGTGGCAATGAAGTTGTTGAGACAGAGAAAGAGAGATGGCTGCATATGGTTTACTGGTTAGCTGTGTATTTGTGTAACAAGTGCTCCTATGAGTACTCAACAATCGAAAGAAGGTTCCTTCTATCCGTGTTTCAAAATTTGGAGTTGGTCTGACTCAGTAAGGGGCTGATCCAGGCCCCTCGGTTGGACTCAAACAAGTTCAAGTCTGACAGGATCTAACCTCTGGAACTGGTGGCAA